TCTGATTAAGCGTACATGCAAATGCCAATATGTCCAATGCTACCACTTATTATTATGATTGCTGATTATGCTGTTTTTCTGCCTGAGAAATGGATGACATGACAGATGGACCATGCTTACAACCACATCCACAGCTACAGACACCGTCGATCGTATACACGCTGTGACAGTTTGGTTGCGCGCTTGGTGCTGCTTCTGCATAACTACAAACAGACAGACATACGGACATACAGACATATAGACATATAGACAGACAGACAGACATTCGTTCATATTCGTAGAGATAAAAAGATACAAACTAATATGAGTATTAACGTAACGTAAAGCATACAGCGGACTGGCTATATAGTATAAAAAAAATATACATATTTCAATAATCATTTTTTATGACAAGCAACTTGACTTCCAGATCAGTAAAAATTTTAAATTGTTTCTCTGACTGGCATTCAAATTGTGATCTTATTCTGTATCTGTATCTGCAAGCTTCTACGTCTGCGGCTGCATCTGTGGCTGTAGCTGTAGCTGTAGCTGTGCAAACGTATGAATGAGAATCAAATTAGCTAAATTTCTTGTGTATTTGTTCTGTAGTTTGGAGTGCCATACCCATTCCATTCTTTGCCCCTGCTCAGTAGTGGGTTTTGTGATATGATGGCGTCTCGTTAAAGATTTAAATACTTGTAAGTGGCACTTTTCAACAAATGAAATATTTTCAATTTAATTGTTGTGGGCACGTTTCGGCTGCAGACCGCGCAACTACATTGTACTACACACTTCATGGGTCATTTTAACATGTCTCGGAAACGAGTACATTAATACTCCTTTCTTGATGTAAGGTATCTACGTGATACCTATAGACTTTAGTTGACTTGTACAACTAAAATATATCTAAGACCAAATAAATTTCAAATATTCATAAAGTATTCATAAAATTTCTTGCCTTTGTCGCTGTGCTCAGTGCGATGAGTCCGCAAGTGACTCGTACTCCGCAAGACGACTGCTCTTTTTTCGTTTTGGTTGTCTCAGTGAGCTAATTCAAGAGATATGAATTCCTGACAAGTGACAACCTGACTGCACAAAATTGACAAAATTATCTGAAATATGCAAAGTCTAAAATGCAAAATTAATAAAAGCGATGCTGCAAAATTATGACTGCGCACAACTTGGCATTTCGAGACATTTTTATTTTTAGGTGACATTCCCTCGGTTGGGCGTCTGATGCTTAGTTGAAATATCAGGCATGTCAATCAATTCTGAAGTTGCATATTACTTTATTGTAGCTTGAAGCTTATTTATGTTTTGGATATTATCTCGAAGCATAAATAAAACAGGTATTTGCTATACATTCGCAGTTTGTTTATTTAATTAAATTATAGGATGAAATCCATATCAAACAAAGAACAGAACTCGGCTCTAAACTCATGTAATAGCCATGAGGATGAGTAAACAGATATTCCATTTATACTTGCTCTTGATTCTGTTTATGAGTAGGAATTATTGAAATTCTATGAACCTTTTTGTTATGTCAAATACGAAACCACAGAGCTAATGTCAAATCAAATAATCGCATCTGTAATTCCCATTTAGTGTTACCAATACCTTCGGGAGACATTTAAGTGCTTAAGTATTTAATCCTTTGTTTTGAAATTTGATACCATTAATGTTTCGCCTTTATTTGCTTCAAATTGTAGCCGTCTTGGATTTGGCCAAAAAGGTGAGGCTTAGCACCTCATTGGGAAATGATGCGCCAACGTCAAAATGAAATGTGGTGCTTTGGGATTATTTCATAATTTATTTCATTGGCACGTGCCAATAATTTCTTCTTGAAATTAAAAATTGTGTAAAAATATTAATTTAAAACCACTTTTAATTAATTTAATTAAATTAATTTAGTTGAATAATTAAATAAATTTAGTTTAACAAATAATTAAAAAGGGATTATACAGATATATAATGTGTTCAAATTAACGAATTAAATAATTAAATAAGGGATTACTGAATAATCAAATGTTCAAAAGTTTTTTATTTTTTATATTAAAATATTTTTAAATTGATTTTAAATAACTAAAATTAAATATAACCACAATATAATTGTACATAAATGATCCTTTAGGTCTTTTGAAGAACCAAAGTACAGGTTCTTTAAGAAGTATTCTTAAGTATTTGATGACAATTATTCCCATCCGAATTTATATGAAACATATAAATTACTTATATATAAGAACGATTGTAATGTTATTTTTTTTGGTCGAAAATGACACGTCTTATGACGAAAAGATGCTACTTAAAAGTTAAAAAGGTTCGAATAGAAATAAAAAGACAATAACAAAAATTTTAGTTAATTTATTGAAATTTGACTGACCATTCGAGTATTATCAAGTACTCATCATCAGTGCTCTTAGGAAATATTCGAATTATTTTATTTTTTTTTATTATAAATTAGTTTATAATCCGTATATAATTGGCTTGGCATTTATAGTTGCATAGTTTATAATCAATGGCCATTATAAAAATTATTATGATTTAGTTCCAATATAAACGATTATATTTATTTTACCTTTCATACATGTATATTAATACTTGTATAACGCTATATTTATTTTTAAGAATCCAAGTTTATATGTTAGTTATATTCAAAAATTTAAATTTTACAAAATGTTACTAGTCTTGAAAATATTAAATTGATACGGGTTTTGAAACCCGTATTCGTATCAATTAAATATTCTAAAGACTAGTTTAACCTAGTTAGACTGTCTCAGTAAAAATGAAACAAAGCCCACGATTTTTTTTAAATTAATATCAATAATAATGGAATAACCCTATGCTATGGACGGGTAAGATAAAGGAGATGTGTCTTCACTGAAGGGGCAAAAGATTATTAAAAGCAAGCAGATATATAGAAGTAGTTGAGGCTTCTTAAATCTAATGTTGAATAAATAATGATTGAGTACAGTACCACTTGAGTACCTAAAAAAGATAAGTAGCAATAATGTACAAATATATAAAACAGTAGTTACTATAGATCAAAAGTTTTTGAAAAAGAAAAGTAATTTTTCATATTATTTTTATTATATCCAATTTATTATATGTTCACACTATTTTTTACCAGATAGGGATATTGAGGTGTATTATGTATATATTTTATTTCATCCGAAATCTCATCTCTAGTGCTTCAAAACGTTAAATCATTTTGATATTTGAGAATGTTGGAAATATTGAATCAGACATATGGGTTTAACACTTTACGTGTTCGCTCATTCTTGTCCTTCTGGTCCGAGCTATTCAAACAACAAGTCTGTTTAATATTTAGTTCTATTTTTTATGGTACATAGTAGGTTGCTCGAATATAATATGATGTACGAACGATTTGGAGTGACTTGTTGTAAGCGAATTAAAAATTTGTATAAGGTTATTTCAACATCGAAATACTGAAAACTTCGAATAGATTGAACAGCATGTGAAGCTTTAAATATACCCCAGAGTGGTTATAAGAAGGAGGTGATAGAAAATCGTGAAGATGATAAATTTATTCTTTAGCAGAGTAGTAAAAGAAACTAATATTAAACATATATAATATATTTTATGAAGACAACTAGCAGAAATAAAACAAAATGGAAAGTTGAAGTCTTAAGTCACAAAATTTTACTACAAATCAAAATTTTTAAGATCTATAACCTGGAAGAATAAACCATGTGTAAACAACGGTTTAGAATAAACAGAAAACAGGAATATTAAAAAAAGTCTATATAAGGGATTTTGCATTCTATATTACTCAATATATTGTATTTTATATACAAGCATACTGCATGAAGTATAAATAGACATCCTATATCATTTATCATGTCAGAAGTATGGATTGTCTAATTTATAATCAGTATTTAAACCACTAATACGGATCTTAGCCTCGAGTTCAAGCTAAAAATCATATTTGTTAGAAATAAGTGTTGCTAGAAATTCTGTAGGCAATGGAGGCAAAATATAACACTACATAAGTTGATCCATTGACCTATTCTGTTATATGGTATTTAAACATAGACGATGAAAAAATTAAATTATATGTATGTAAGAATGGTGGTCATTATAGCAGCAAAAAGTGAAATTATTTATTAATTTTAATTTATGTGGTTTTAAATTACAACGACAAGATATTTAAAATCGTAAAGGAAAATATAGTAAATATCACTCAACCAATAAAACGGACGTTTAGAGCATAAACTCAATGCTAGAATTCAGACCAACCTTAAACATAATACTATATTGTATATAATGTAGACGATTAATGTCATATATGAATAACATCATAACTTCACTAGATGTCTACTATCTACATATTACATACTCGTATTTGAAATAAAATATATAACTAAAATAAGACACCAGCTTTGTAATGATTCATATAAGATAGGTACGTGAATACAAAATATATTGAAATTTTTAGGTACTATAATCTAGAAGAAGAAACTGTATTTAAGCATCATAAAACAAGAATAAATAAAAATGTAGAAGACATTTATTTGTTAGAAGTATATGAACAATAAAAATATAGGGACTGTCGGTCTTTAATCTTTAACCAACAATTAAAAGGTTTGTCCTCTGTATCAACAATGCTTTATAAGATATGTTTTATGAGAATATATAAGTATAATATTGAATATGTAATCTGTAATAATTATCATTTTAGTGTTATTGTTATGAGCTAATATATATTGATTCCATCGTTCTGAAGTCTTATAGACATCATAAAATATCATCGTCATAAACTCAACATACTGGAATAAAGTCCATATTACATCCGCTTTATTCAAATTTAAATGAAGTTTCGGATATCACGAAAATAGATGAACAATTATACTCCCGATGTTTTTGATTGAAAAAATAAAACCATTGAATATTTTTAAAATGATAAGTGTTAAGGGAATCTAGAGAACTACTTAACAATTTTGAAGAATATAATTCTGAGAATATATGGTATATGAAAAAAACGTTTCGTGAACAAAACTCACCTTGTGGTTTTGGTATATTTCGTTTGACTTGCATCCATTTATAGGTTGGCAAATTACTAGAATGATTTGGAGACTTGTTAGTTTGTGGACTGTTTTGGTTAGTAGATATTGAGGACGAAGAAGCTTGACTTGAACTATTTGGTGAGATGACATGTTGGTGGCGAGAATTATTGCACGTACCGCTCGATGTGGAACCGTGGTGTGAGAGTTGACTCTGTTGCTGTTGTAAAGATTGCTGCGCCGCTTGTTGCATATGTGGATGCATGTTATGATGTACATGGGAATGCATGCTAGTTAAGGATTCCATTGTTAGTCCACCATCAATCGTAGGCGGATAAGGATTATTTATATGTTGGTGATGCCATATTTGTGTTGGTGAGTGTTGTTGACCAGCTGACATTTGCATGAGTGGATCATCAATTACCAAACCAGCACCACCATATGCAGAGTGCAGTACTGCAGCATATTTTTCCTCCACATTTGTGCCAGTATTAACTGGCAATGCTGGGTAACCATGTTGTTGTTGCGCTACTGTTTGACTTTGATTATACAAACAATCTAAATTAGTATAACTTAGTCCATTTTCCGAACTTATTATAGGCGGATCAACTGGAGCGGTTGGATTATGTGCTGCATTTGCAGCTGTTACAGGGGAGTTCGTTGATGGCGGCACAGTAGCCACAGCCGCTGTAGCATAATAAGATTGGACAGAATCGCTTTCATAGTACGATTCTGTTGGTGAATGACTAGTGGGATGGAGTGGAGTATTTGATGTACCACCACTAGCAGATGAGGATGTTGTGATGCCATATTCTGCTGCACTCGGACTAAACAGGTGTGAATGATGCGAGTATAATGATTGTTGTTGTTGTTGTTGTACATTGTTAACAGCGGTTGTTGTTGATATTTGCACTGTGGTCGGTGGTGGGGTTAATTGATGTTGATGTTGCTGGTAGTAATTAGGCGATGCGCCATCATAATTTGTATATCCAAAATGATGTCCATGCTGGTGCTGATTTTGGTGGGAGTGTGGGTGAGTTGGCATAGCTGCGTTAGCTGGAAAGTAAGTATTCGTGTAACCGTTTGAAGCGGCAGCGGTAGCAGCTGCAACGGCAGCCATTTCAGTGCTACTGCTGTGATAATTATTAGTATGATGGTGATGATTTCCGTACATACTGCTTACGTCCATCATATTGATTTGGCAAAGTGGAAAATGTGTACAAGGTGGGAGTAGCTTTACCGACTTATACCCACTTGTTTATTTTTTGTTTTGTTTTGTTTTGGTGTTGTTATAAAAAAAACATATACAAAAAAAAATTAATTTATATTAATATTGCAATCACTATAATGTGTTTTGATTAAATTTGAAAAGTATTGATTAATTGAAACAATTAGTAATGGTGGGAGCAATATTAATGCTTGGTTGTTTTTATTTTAGTTGGCACATTTTCATAATAATTTCACTGTTAGCATAAAAACACTGTTTAATTAAGCACATTTGTCGTCATTTTTATAGCATTTTCACAAATAATTTAAATTAGGAAAAATTTACAGTTTCAAAATTAATTATAATTAATTAGAATAATTTTGTTAAATACCGTCGCTCGCGCGTTCATATGCGTTTTTGATAATTTATTCAAACGTTCAATGTTTATTTACTTTCTTGACGTATGCGCGAACATTCAATCATTCCCGCGTTACCAGGTCGTCGTCGTTACTGATTCGTATTACGACTGCGAACGTTCACTCAAGTCACCACTAGTTCATGTGCCGCAGAAATGTATCTACGATTAGCCTGTTAGTCGGGCAAGTAACGCCTACCAATGTGTATATGCAGCTCTTTCACGCAACACCTACTCGGAGTACGAGTATGGAAGTAAGTGAGTCTGCGTCTCTTTCTACTCCATGGAAAACGACATTCAATACTCAAGCCAAGTATGAAATTTTGACAGTACAAGTTTTTTCCAATTGCCATATCAATTTATAGTTCTTTTTTTTCACATTTTTTTGTCAGAAATTAGTCACTGTTGCCGATTTCGGATTGTACCTACTAGTTTTCATTGTTGTTGTTTAAGTTTTCGGATGGCTTTAATTCCCCCATTTGCAATCTGTATGTACTTAAGGTTGTATATATAGTTTGAGAGAACGATTGTGTGTGCCTGGCAATGGCAAAAGAACACAAACTTCGTTCACAATTGTGTTCTGTTATAAAATTGCAAATATGTACGTCGATATCCTATGGCGTTGATTGTGGTCACGAATTCTTTCCGTATCGATTCCCATTGGATTTGGATTTCGAATTGTTTTTTCTTTTTACCAGAACATATGCATGTGTTTAGGTGCATATCTGCTTGTGTACTACATATGACACTTTATGCTGCAGATGCATTTCTAATTATGTTCAGGTAAATTAAGTTGAATGCAACTCTGTTGAGTTCTGTGCTTGAGATTCTTCAGAAAATTTGAAGGAATTTAAATTGTCTTTCGTTGCTCAGTGGGAAATAATCTTGTAGGAGCTATGAACTTCTTTCTACTGACATTTTCTATGAAGGAACCTCTTTCAGTTGCGGATTTATGTCTTAACTACAGTTCTGTGCTGCACCCTTGTAACGTAATTGAGCGATTTACACTATTCCGGTGCATTGCTCAATTATTAAATATTCACATTTAAAAAATATTTAAAAAAATTGGAAATTGATTGACACATTCGCAGTCTTATGTCGTTGAGTTCCACTCTTGTATGACGAGTTTATAGTTTTCTTTTATTTTGAAAATGGTATTGATTTGCTTTCCATAAAGACCAAATTTTCTTAGTCGGAAAAAGTGGTTGGTAATTTATTACAATTTTGGACAGGAGCAATTAATATAAACAACATGTTGTCTTTATTCCGATTATTTTAGAAAGCAATGAGTGAATTAATAAGCAACATTTTGCCACAAATAAAAATATAAAAATAATTTAATTTTGCTGTTAGAAAAAAAAAATATTTAACTTAAATAAAAAATTGGTATTATTTTGATGACCAAATTTAATTTATATATGTGTATATATACTAATATTAATTAAAAAACCTCTTGTTAGTCAAAATGTATAGTTAATTTAAACTCTACAGGTCGTTTAAATATAATATAAAAAATGTGTAGATGTATAAATTTGTGTTGTTATTTCTTTATTATTATTCGAACCGTTCTAGTTTCTTTTCGTCATAAGATGCGGTGTCACTTTCGCATCAAAAATATATATATTTACTTACATATATTTTTGAACAGTCTGTAGACTAGTCGAAATATCGGTGACAATAAAATATGTTTCTTTAAACTAATTTAAAAAGGTGTATATTTTTTAACATTGACCAATTAGCCCATTTCAAAATATTTAAATACAATATTGATTGAATTACTGAGTATAAATAATTAATTATTCATTAATTAACAAAGTTGAGATTAACATGATCTTGTGATTAGTTCAATCTGATATAGTGCAAATATGCAGTTCGAGAAAACATTTTGTATTTCTATACTAATCCTATTATAAGAGCGTTAAGAATGAATTTGTAAATACTTCTAGAAGTATTTAAAATATATTAAATGAAAATATATTAAAAACATTAATTACAAAAGCTAAACCGAAGCAATTTTATTAAATAGTTGCTTTTTAAAGTGTATTTATATTAATCTTGTTTAAGATAAGTGGTTAGGTCACCGTCAATTTTCTCAGTTAGGACAAAGTAGGCCAGTTAAAAAATCCACATGACCCCAGTAAGACCACAAAATCATTTCAGCGTTGTTGAACCAATATTTTAGAGTAATAAACCACAGTAACTTTTGTAAAGAAACTTTGGCAACAATAAAATGTTCACCGGCTGACAATAACCCAATATTATAATCCATTTGATAAAGAAATTCACTGAAAAACTACAGATTATATACTAAAAAAATAAATGAAACTGATTTTACAATATAGTATTTAATATATGTTGGGTGATTTTTCTTCTTCCCTGAAATTCATTTCACATCATTCTTATTTTTATAACGAACTGTGCAAATATGAAAAAAATAACTATGGACACTACTCTCTCCTCTTCTACGTAATACTCCTTGGATGTAGCATCCAATTTTAACATGTGTCTATAAGATATATTGATGATACCTAAAGTTTTCTTGTAGTTATAGTTTTACATTTCATTGCTTCGCATCGAAAGAAAGAGCCACCGTTTTTAAGTCCAATTTTGATCAAATAAACTTTGTGTGATAACATTTTCTTCGATGCAACCGTTCATATATTTCATTTAGAAACAGTTTTCTAATTTTAAAATTGCAGTTCATTAAATAAACACTAATCTGATTTTTTTGTCATGAAAATTTTTTTCAATGAACAGAAATTTCGATTAAAAAGTATATAGACTCCCACACTATAACTCTACAAACTCTATATCCTAGTTGTTAGTGTCCGAGCCTATATTCTTTTTAGTCTACATTTCTGTTCATTGAAAATTTAATTAGTTTATTTTCCTAAAATATATAATATATCTAGGTCCATATCATGGCCAAATTAGTAAACAACTGTAAATTTGTCATATAAGTACGATTTTTGTTGTTATTTATATTTTTAGGTGTGTCCTTTTCTTTACATTTGTAATCTCAAGCAAAACATCTAACTATCTAGAGTCTATCTAGAGTAAGATAATATCTAGAACTAAATACAAATTAAATATGTTATGTTCATGAATCTGAACAGATTTTTGTGAACAAAATTATACTAATCAAAAAAAAAATATTAGATATACTATTTTTAAAGCCACTGATGTGTCGAACTTTTTTTAGCTTCTCTCTCAGGGCGGATTGGATTAATATCAATGAGTATATATATTTTATATCAAATTTCATACATAAAACAATTTTAACAAGATCTTGAACTGTTTATTAACTAGTATATAACATAGTTAAATTCAAAGTTGCTATTGATATATGATATTGGGTGAACGATTTCTACCTTTCAAAACACATTTTATGAAGGTATCTGCTACTGGTTTTGTGCTTATATTTAGAAAAAAGGCGATATGTTTGTCTAGGCTAATGGCGCGGCAATGTTTTGTGATAATTTCTGGCCCGAAACAATGCCGCCGGACAAGGAATTCTACTCCGGCAGCCATCAAATTAACGTTCAGATAAACGAGCGTGACATGTCGCTTATTAGCGACGTGTTACATTTCGTCAAAGTTTTCCATCAATTCTTTGTTCAATTCGTAATTAAATTTTGTAAATTTCAATTTCAATTCTAATAAATACTCGCGTAAATGCTCGAATACAAAAAGCCCCGCTACCGGGCGCAGTGCCGTTCAGCGCCGCGTCGCGCCGCACCGCACCGTATACCGCGACATTCAGTTAATAAGACTTCGCAGCGATAAGTTCATAGAGTTTTCGTTAAGCCACATGCTACGGTTCGCGATACCTTCTGACGACTTACAATGGTAATTTGTGTTACAATAATTGATGGATTAAAGTTTATGGCGCCGACTTCGCTAGCTGCGCCGACAAGGGGCAAAAGTTGGCTTTGTTGCATTGAGTTTCTGGTCAAATTTACAAATTGATCAATGTTTCTTGCCTTTGTGAACTAATTTTTGAATGTGATACGAGTATTCCGAATTGGAATTTATTGGCTTTGGGTGTGTATGAGGTGTTCCCTTGCCAAAGCGATGTCGCCTTTCACCCCACAATTATGGATTTTGTCAAACAGTAGCAAGTAGGTTAATTAAATGAAGCTGAAGAGTATTTTAAAGCACAATGTTAGTAATATTGAAATAATTTAGAATCCTTAGACATATAAACTAATATTAATTTACAAAAAATTACGTTGTAATGGGTGATATACATTCAGATACAGGTGTTTTGATGCACTATTGCATAAAAATTTTATTCATGGAAAAGTAGTTTTAATCAACTATATGTTCGTCATTATTATTTATGATTTCTAGTAATTTTTCGGGTACTTTCTTAATTCCATCGATGTAGAACTTCTGTGATTTATCAGCGAAAAACTTTGCCATTTGATTATCAGCGACTCTTTAGTCGATCAGTTTTTTAAGAGAGTTCTTCAGAAACCGATCAAATAATAGTCAGATACTGTCAGATCCCTATTATATAGTGGATGTATCCATACCCCCCAATCAAGTTTGATCAATTTGTTCCGAATTTACAAAGATGTGTGCGCTGCTATTGTCAAGCTGGAATATAATTCCTTGTCTGTTGGCTAATTCCA